AATGGCGGTGTGTGGTGGCAGAGATACTTTCGGTGATTTAACTGCAAGGAACTTTGGGAAGAGAATGTGGTTTATTTTGCCCATCAAATGAGAACATTTAGCTGTGCCCTGTACTAGCCCTGAATAATCAGCCGTCAAGTAAAGCGGTTAATCATGATTCCATACAAGTTTTGGGTGGGATGTGCCTCATCCAAGGGGGTGAGCCCCCGACCTTTAGATTGAACTTGAGAATTTCAATATGGTTCAAATCATTAAAATTTTAATTTGGCGAGATATGGTTCAAATCCTTAAAATTTTAATTTGGCGAGTTGGGGAACGTTTTTCCCAATTTTTTTTGAACCCATATTTAACAGTAGGGCATGCCCCCCCCCCCCCCATGTTCACATCCGGTCCCATTTATTTTTTTTACTTACCATTAGCATCCACTCTGTGGTGGTGGTGTAAGTTACGTTACTTATTGTACTCCATACATAATGTTTGCAGGGTTTGATTTTACTGTATGGCTTCCATATTAGAGTAGACTCCATACAACCTGTGGCATGGTTCAGTTTTTTTTTGGGGGGGTACAGACTTTAGTGTTCCGATTTCTAGCAATTTCGGTCAGAACTTTCAACTTAATTAACAGAATGGCTATGTTTTCCAATTCAATGCCACAAGAAAATTGAACTACCGTGTATAGAGAATAAAAGCCACCCATCTTTTTTATACACACCCTGTGTCCCTAGACTACACCAGTTCTACACCAGTAAATTTTGCCCATGACTTGCATTCTTGAATAAAAAAAAACGAGTCAACAGAATCTATCAACATTACAAGTAAAGAAACAAGCATTTGGACCACTTAAAAATTTAATTAAATATTCAATTAAATTATTCAAAGTATTCACAAAATTGTTATCGTAATAACTGACATAGCGATGGTAAAGACTACTGTCATAATAAATAAGATTTAGAAAAATCCTAAAAATGAAAGAAAGCTATAGCAAACTGATGCAAAATATTGTATGCCAATTTAAATTCAACATTTGCAAGACAATTTGAAATGAAATTGCACTGTTACTTCAGGTAAAGCAGTAGATACTGTAATTATGTGAAGTAACAAGACAGTGGTCAAATCATGATTGGGGGGAAAAAACAAAAGTACAGAGCAAATTTATTATTTTAACAGTGAATGTTTCAAATCTGGATTATGTTAAGAACATCCAATGGTAGGAAGGTATTCTCCTGCAAGATAAAATACAAAGAAAGAAAGAAAGAATTAGACCACACAGCTGACTTGAAATGATTATGGTATGCAAGGACTTAACTACATTTCAATGATTTCTTTCCTCGTGTCAAGGTTTTACTAAAACACCACTCCTAGCACCATTACCGGTATATTAAGGTAATTTATTTCAAACACCATACAATTATCAACCTACCAGACGTTTTCACTTTGTATATGGGAACATCAGTTTCCAGTGCCTGTATTGCAATATGAAAGCCGAGAACAAGGGCTTTATAAGTACCAACGGCCACATAATAATCATCCATATTCTGGTGATAAAATGCATGAAGACTGAAGGCATCTGAGAAAGGAAAAAAAACAACTTTACCTTATATACCAGTTTGAGTTTGCATCGCACTTCATAGACATTATCAAAATGCTTGTTAACAAACAGGGAACAAACTACATGTACACGACTGAAACTAAGATAAAGCCAAGAAATGGAATAGAATAAACTACAACTAATACCAGTATCCTTTGAGTGGAGCTATGTCACAGAACGTTAAGACACGCACTACTTTACCATGCATTTCTATGGGCTCTTCGTGAGCTGGTGTGATCACCGGTCGAAGAAAACTGCTGAAGTCGAGAAAACTCAACTTTGAAGTTGACCTAACCATTTTAAGTAGAATTAATAACTATACCAAAGTACAGTTTCTTGGAGTTTTATCTCAGTTTTCAGATTGTACTGCAGCCTTTATAGTAGTCCTCAGTTGTAAAAACTCAGTTCAACTAATTTAATTGACATACAGAGTACCTGTAAGCTTAAATCTTCAGCTGCATTGGTAGTGGGGGGGTTGTGCCTAATTTTGCAGAATCAAGTTTGTCGCATACAACTTGTTTACCACTTCCATGTGACTGAGAATGTTCTAGAACCGTACTGTGTCTGGGTGGAATTTTTAGAAGTTGGTTGAATAGGTAATAGGACACTGTAGAAGGCAATAGAAGGTAATGGAACATTCTAGAAATTTGTAGTAAGTTCCAGACTCATTATGTATGCTGATGTAATGGTCTATTTATAGACAGTGTGGGTGTGTATATATAGGGGAGTTGTTCAGCACTGAGATCAGATCGGAGATCTCGTTGAATTGTATTTGAGTTTAAGTATCTAGTCATTGGAGTAGTGAAGTTTTACCGCGTTATTGTACTTGAGGTTTCAACTGGTACTGGTATTATTATACTCTGCAAACATCTGTTGGCTCCGTGTGCATATTTTATCATCGCAGCCAGGGAAGTCTTTACTGTTGCCATTTTGGTATTTGAACCATCACACCTGTACTATACCAATTACGGTAATATTACGTTGCGTGTGACAAAGTTCATTTATGTAGAATACAATTAGACAAAAATTTTCTATTTGAAGTTGAAAGTCAGAAGATTACTTACGCTCCAAAGGAATCTCTTTGCTCAATACAAACTTGGATTCACCATTGTACTTGTACACCTTAATGCCCACATCCTGATCCAAGACTAACAATATTTCATCATATCCAATCTGCATATGGTCCATTGAAACTGGCATTGTCACATCAATTTCACTGACGTATTCAAACCCTGGAGTATTTTCATCATACCTGTAATTAAACATAATTTTTAATCTCATCTTCCAATCACAATTCAGTGTTCAAAACTATACAGAAATTATGGGATCAAGTCTCTTGGATTAAACACTTGTGTATATAAAAACACTCACATCATTAGACAAACCATACAATATGTAGTGTACTATGTAACATTCCCAAATGGTTTACTGTAAAATACTTTATTTTCACTGGAATTAATTTTCGCTAAAACGACTTTAGGTGTGTTGTATGAAATTTATTTTCACTGATTTTTAGCGAGTTGAATTTAAAATGTAGGAAAAAAAGTATATTCGCTAGATTTTATTTTCACTGAAATTTGTTTACGATATTTTAATGCATTTCTATAGCTTCTACATTAGATCAACTTACATAAAAATGTATGTTTAATTACTTGGTGAAAGTTGTACCTACCTACCCCAACACGTCAGATTTTACCAGTTGGTAAAATGCCCATACATTTGTTGGACACTCCTTACTTAGAAATTTTACGTCATATTCAAACACTTTCCTATGTTTAGATCAGACGCAGAAGCTCTATAAGCAAGTAATGGAAATGTAAAACGTGTCTTTTAGCTTGCATGTAATTTTAGCTATTTCACCTAATCTGTAATTTCACTAATTCAAGATGCAGCTAATTTAACAGAATGTATATTCTCAC